GCCCCTCTGCCCACACCCGCGGCCTCTCGGTCCACACAGGACGGCTGCCGCCCCTGCGCGCCACGCGGGGTGGGGCTGAGCCCCTCGGGGCGAGCTTTCCCGAGCCTTGGGCGGCCCTGCCCCCCAATGGGGCAGCTGGCAACGCGGGTCCCGCACCTGCTACGATGCCTCAGGCCGAGGCCGCACCGGGGGGCGCCCACCTGGGGCCAGACTGCGCCCGAACCTGGATTCGGGGGCGCGGAGCTCGGCCAGGCACTTGCAGCCACACCAGGCTCGGCCACGTCGTTAAACGTGACAGCAGCAAATCTCCCCGTTGCGGGCCTGGCGAGAGGAGGAAACCCCGGGCACAGCTGCCCCGCGGCCTGGGGGCTGTTCTTGGCACGCCAAGGTGGGATTTGACAGATGAAAGCGAGACTTTCATCCCTGGACTCGAGACCTCACCCGTTTAGTTTTGAACATGCTAAATGATTGAAACTGGTACTTTTATGCCTCCCATCCCGCCTTTCTATTAACTCACGCTGGGATTTCAGGATTAGCACGATAATCACCAAAAACCAGATCGCTGCTTTTGAACCAGAATTTCGCATTTCAGTGGCAGGCTAGAGAGGCTGCCGGCACGCCTGGGAATCTTTTTTTTCTTTTTTTAAAGATTTATTTATTGATGCATACAACTGGGGTACAGGCCAGAGGGGCGGGGGTGCTGCGTCCTAACTCGGCCCCCCCCAGACGGGCTCCCTGCGTGAGGGCCGACCCGCTGCTCATCCCCAGGGCCGCAGCCCGTCTGAGGCTTCCGAGTGACGTCCACCACCGTCCTCACCATTCCCCCCCAATATGCTCATCACCCCCACCACCATGGCCACCACCCTCACAGGTCCGCGACAGCAGGCCAGTCCTGCCCACCAGCACGACTGAGCCACGGGCTGGACTCCGTAAGGTTAGAACCACGGAATTAGAAGCCAGCGGAAAGGGAAGTTTCAAGGCCTCCACGGAAGAGAACCTAAGAGGGAAGAGACGGGAACCCCAGACCCGTGTCCCCTGGATTTTCTCCTTATAGCTCCTTACAGGGGCACACGGAACTTGGGGACCTGGCTCAGAGGCTGTCCTCGGAGACCTGGGTCCGCAGGGCCGACCTAAAATGGGTGCCCTGAGGACTCGGGGCGGCCTGTGGTGTGGAGTCTCCCTCGGGGCATGGTGTGAGGTGTGAGCGAACCCCCTTCCTCTCCCCTCCCCTGAGGGGTCAGCAGAGCCCTGGTGCAGGCAGGAGTGAGCCCAGAGGAGCTGGTTTTGGGGTAGGAGAGTAACCCGCAAGGGCTCGGGCCGTCTTCACTGGGCCCAGACTTCACTCAAATCAGGACATTGACTTAAAGACATGGCATTCAGATCGTAACGGGGTATGATCTCGGTCACTGGACATCCCACCATGTAATTTATCGATGCATGCAGAACTGGGGTACAGGCAGGAGGGGCAGGGGCGGTGAGAGGCTTCACCAGAGACAGAGCGGGGAGAACAGGCAGATGGACGAAGTCCACGGCTGAGGGGAGCAGCGGGGAGACAGGAGAGGTCTGCTGCGCCCTGGGGGTCACCTCCGGAGCAGGCGGGGATCGAACTCATGCGAAAGTGGCTTTAGCTTCTCAGTGCTGTGCTGTAACCCGCTGCGCCACCAGGGAGGGCCCTCGTGTGGGTTTTTAAATTTTTATTCCAGCAAGATGCTTCCTCTGGAAGATGCTTCCAGAGGACAGAGGGTGTCCAGGGGGCAGTTTACCATGCAGTGACCCAGCAAATAATCACGTGGCTCCTCAAACAAGGGAACTTCCAGGGCAGGGCAGGAATAGGGGCGGAGGGCCAGAGCCAGAACATCCTGCTTCCAAGAGTCGCCAGTGGGAGAGCTCGCGTTCCCCAGAGTGTTGAGACCCCACCGGGCTGTTCATCTTCACTTGCAACTTAAACCCTAGTGAAATAGTGAAATTCTGGAAGCTGCGCCTCGTGTGTATCCTGCCAATTGTGGGGTCAGCGGTAAATGACTGCGCAGAAGCCAGCACTTCCACCAGAGACTCCACGCTTAGCACCAAGCCTGGCTGAGTTCCAGAGTCAAGCCAGCTCAGCTTGAGCCCAGGACACCTCCCGGGGCGGGAGCAATCCCACCCAATTCTCTGGTCTGCCTGAGGACCTAGCTGGTGTCCCGAGCTCGGCAACGCCCTCACAGCCTGGTGAGAAAGGACGACAGCGGCCACACAGGCAGCAGAAACACGCAGAGGACGCGTTTCCATGAGTATTCCTCCCTCTTTGTGGCCCCTCTCTGTCCCCCTTCCCTGCGGGATCTCTCTGGTTTATAGTGGCCTGTTTTTGTTTTGCTTTGTATTGTAATAACAATACATGTTTTCCCCCGTCTTATCTGGTTCTCTTAAATTCCACCTATAAGTGAAGCTATTTGATATTTTTCTTTGTCCTTCCGACTCATGTCACTGAGTGTGATCCCTTCCAGCTTCATCCATATTGCTGCGGATGGCATGAGTTTTATCCTTTTTGACTGCTGAGTAGTATTCCACGTCGTGTATGTGTGTCTACCTATATATTGTTAATTGCTGAGTAGTATTCCACTTTGTGTATATGTCTACGTATATTTTGATTGCTGAGTAGTATTCCACTGTGTGTATATACGTATATCTACCTATATATTTTTGATTGCTGAGTAGTATTCCACCGTGTATATATCTACGTATCTATTTTTGATTGCTGAGTAGTATTCCACTTTTGCGTATGTCTACGTATGTATTTTTTATTGCTGAGTAGTATTCCACTGTGGTAACTATGTGTATATTTTTATTGCTGAGTAGTATTCCACTG